TCAGGGTAAACCCTTCAACAAATAACGCTACCCAAAGATACCACTCTTAAAAAAAGAGAAAGTAAAAAGAGAAAAAGGGCAAATGCTGGCTTAATTTGCCTTTTATTTATTTTATAAATAAGTTGCTCGGTGGTTGCTCTGACATGTCAGCAAAATTGTTAAGAAAAAAATTTGTTCTGCTCCTCTCTCCACACCAGCAAAATTAAAGCTAGACTTTGCCTAACTCAACCTTGCCTAACTAATCAGAATGGGGTGAAGTGTTTTTAGTTTTAGCCAGTTGGTTGAGGTGAGTCAAGTTCCTGGTAATCATCCCTTCACTAAGCCTGCTTACTTTTAATTAGTCCTTTGGTCAGGTTGTCTGGTTAATTTCAGTCCACCAGCACGAACCTTTCCGCCAAACTAACAGCATTCAGCCAGTTAATTAAGGTGGAGGCTAGTTGCGAACAACTACAAATAATTTTTAATTATTCCCTCCGAGGAGCCAAGAATTCAAGATCAACTACCCTCCGATTGGTTAGTTTCTTGGCTCCGAGCAGGAGACAATTAAAGAGACTGGTTTATTTAAGGTCTAACCAGCTAAAGACCTTTTAATTTAGCTCGCCGAGCTCGTTGTCTTTCGGCAGGGGTCATGGCTCGACCTAATTCACTCTTATAAGCTCCGGGTCTTTTCTTAATTAAGCCTAAGAGTTCTTTCTCTTGCCGGGTGAGAGGTTGACCTTGGGCGAGTTTAGCTTGAGCTCGTTGAACTCTTTTTCGTTCGGCATCATTGGCTCATTTTCTCGGTCGACCTCCTTGGGCTCCTCATTCCGTTTCTCGGTCATAACTACGATGAGGATACCAGTCTTCAAAGGTTTCTCTTCTCCTTTCGTATTGTTGCCGACTAAATCGAGTGTAGACCTCTTGTAAGGGTTCGTCTTCATAGGGACTGCTTACTTTAATTAGGCGGGCATTTCGAAGTGTCCGGGGGTTTCTGCCGACCATCTATTTACCACCTCCTGGGGCTTTGCTTGGGTTACTAGGGATTACGGACAAGCTTAAAATATTGGTTGGTAAGTCTCGTAGAATGCGAGACTTGGAGAGGAGATTTAGAGATGTCACGCTAAGCTTGAATTTAAGCATGAGAACCTCCTTTTTTAACTCATCGGTTGCCGACCTTTTCAACTTGGTCGGCTTCGGTGAAGGTAAAGATAAC